TTGCTACATCAGGTGACTTAGGTCGTATGCTTAAATAGCTCACACATCAAGTACAGCTTAACATAAGCGAATTTTTCTCCTCTCTCCCCTCATCCTCCTTCCCCTCCTCCCCATGTGCCTCCAAGTTCCAAGTTGTAATTCTTCGCCCGATTTTCGAATCGTTTATAGTAGGAAAACATTTAATTGCTAAAACGACAATCAGCAATTCTGGCCAAGACTATTGTGACGTTTGACTTATTTATTAGGCTGCTTTGGGCTGTTAATTTTTCATGTAATGGGAAGTTTTGTAACAGATAAATAAGCGTAGGACATAAACATATAAATCATAAAGGTATTCAGAATAAATTATGTTGTCAGAAAGGATTATGATGAAATTAGTCTAGTGACTTTTGTTTCGATCCTATTGAGCGTAAACAATGTCAGTTGATTCAACTTAAAGACTTCGTTTGATCGTATTTGCGTAAATTAACGAACGACCCAGAAACGCTAGAGAAATGTAATCTTTTTCATTTCAGCCCGTAGTATCGAATCACCCATCTTTTGCCAGAGGAATGTTTAAAATTAGTCGCAAAGGTATTCCGGAAAAAAACAATTACTACTAATCAAAGATAAGGTACAAAGAGGCGGGACATGAAAGATTGAATTGGATCAGCTCGCGAAATCTCTTAAATGTGCACGAAAACAAGACGAATTTTAGAATGTATTAAAATTAGTTGTAGTTATAAGATACTATCAAATATTGATGTTGTATTTCTTAAACAACACTAACATGCATTTTGCTATGATGGACTCTCGACTTATCTATGTGGATTGCATTTTCACCCACCTCAGTTCTGATCTGCTTGTCATTAATGATATATATGGGCGGACGTAAGGAGCAGGCTAAAATTGGCAAAAACGAGGAGATGTCAGTCGTCACGGCGTAGAATCCTTCATTTGCAAGCAGAGATTCTATATCAATCGTCTGAAATTAGGCCATAGCCGTTTGATTGAGAGAAGACACTCCCAAATAGCCTACCTCCCAAAAAGCGACCATAACGTCGATGATGTTGGCGGCGAGGTAGCAGCACACCACCATGACTAGCATTCGAGTGACAGTGCGAAGACGTGAACGAAGTCTCGTCACTTCCGCTCTGCAATAGCGATGGTGTCTAAAACAGTTCTTGAGCGGATGTTTTATGGAGGGTTGCCGTATGCCAAGAAGGATTTGATGAAGAGAACTTGTTTTACCTAGTGCCCACAGTTGTGAACATCACCAAAGCCTTGACTGTTTGATCGCGATCGCTCTTCCGAACATTTAGCACGATGGCTAGGTTAAACCAGGCCAGCGCTAAAATGAGCTAACGCGGATTAATGATAGTTTGTATGTATTACCTTCACCCTTCCAAATTGAAAATTACCACACTTGAGTTCAGTCATTTTTGCTTCCCTTGGCATCGCACAATTATATATGTAACTCTTCCAAAAAATTTTTCTTTCTAAAGACTGTCAGAATGCAAAATTTCTGTACGGAAATACCTAAGGGAAAATGTATAGCCGGGAAATTTACTTATCAAAATTCGTATTTTCGAATTGTTTTCGCTCGCTTTTTTGTGTAATTTGCTAATAAAATACAAAAAATGTTTTTTTTGAAAAGTTGCTCAATGCTTTATCGGTAGCAGTTCCTTCTTGGAAACCTCATAACCACTACTAACTGGTCGCGAAATCATCTCCAACTGTCGGACCAAGGCTTGTCCCAAATTGGAAAGTTTTCAAAAAAGCAGCCAGTTTTTGATTATTCATGCACCCGCAAATTTCGAACCTCGCCATTGTGGGAAGTTTTTATCACATGAGGAATGCATGAGAGATCTCACAGCGTTTTTGTGGTAATCTTGCCTAATCGAGTAGGAGACTTTATGTAATTCGGCCAAAGCTGTTCGACACTTGATGATTATTGTGTAAGAAAATCTAAAAGAATACCAATAAAGGGCAAGAAGACTGTAACAATCTTTCGTATCCAAAATTTCCAAATTGCGTCATAAAGAGGATCAGCGAAAAGCCGCGACGACGCTAATCCCATACTTGAAAAGCCATTACACCGTGGGTTGTATACCACCTAAAATAAACTTGTTATTTTAAAGCCTACTCAGATGAAAAAAATGTTGTTACCAATAACTCTCCAAACTCACCGCCACCTCAAAGAAAACTGTCCCTCTGAATACACAGCTGGCAGCGAAGCAGAACAGAACTACAGAAGCGCGATGTCGAGCCAATAGACGAAAAAGATTTCCTGTCCTAAAGTGAATGGGTAGCATTGTAAAAATCTCGCGTAGTGCAGGCTTTTAAGCTTTTTTTAAAAACTATGGGTTCATATTGTCCATTTGGAGTTGATTTTTAGTTTAAATAATAATAGGCTGAGAAGAAAGTACTTCTGCTTTTAATAGCTTACCACCGTCATAATTACCTAGTTGCTGCAAAATCAGTGCTTTTTAAAGTTTTTTTTTTTTTCAAAAAGTGCTTTCTCCCGTTATCGTTTCCTTCCAGTTGATGTAACGCCTTTTCCGTTTTTTTATTCGTTCTTTCTCTAATTAAAAAAATGTAGAATGCCATTGACTGTGCAGTTGTTGGTAACTCCAGGTTAGTTTGAGTAGTTTTTTTATTGGGTCCTCCCTTATCAAAGAAATTGGACAAAATTTCATAGAATTTCCTGCTTCTAGCA